CCCCCGTCCCCACGTCGATCATGGCGACAACCGCCGGCTTGTCCAGCTGGAAGCCCGCCTGGCGGAGTGCGTTCATCACCTCGTCCTGTGCATGGCGGGTGCGCAGCACAGGAGTTCTGAGTAGTGCACGTCTGGGCGGGATATGCTATGGAAAAGGGATTGGACAAACACGCTTGAGACGAGGTGCAAACCACAATGCAATCTAGAATCCCGTGCTCGCACACGCCAGCGTCACTGTGTGTGAGCGCATGTTGACGTGCTGTAGTGCTCAATTAGCACAGGGAGGTTCCCACAGAGATGCAGGCGCCACGCAGCCATGCCCAGCATGCCTGACTCTCCGCACCTGTGAGAGGCTGCCATTGTTGTCGCGATCAAAACTGCGGAAGCTCTGCTGCACGTTGACCAGAAAGAAGTGCAGGCTGGTATGTGGCAGATTGTGTGTGTCGGAGGGAGGGCGGGGGCATCAGGGGTTGCCTGCGCCAGGGCCATGGCAATCAGACATGGCAGACGTCGCAATGCGCCCTGGCGTAAGCTGCCGTGCGCAGTCTGCAGCGCAAACGAGAGTGTCAAGCCCGCATCTGGGCATGCTGCAACCAGCGTACCGTTGGAACTCCTCAAAGTTTAGGGTGCGGGTGGCGTTCTGGTCGAAGGCCCGCACCATTTGGTCCACCTGGTCGTGTGGTGTTCATGTGTGCATGTGTGCATTTGTGTGCATGTGTGTGTTTGTGCGCGCACGCGCGGGTTCGCACGCATGTGCGCGCATGCACGTGTATGTCGATGTATTACTGTCGATGTATTACTATGGGGAGAGGCGACGACTAGTGACGATGATGCATCATCGAATCGCACATCTGAGTACGTGAAGTTCAGGTTGCCCAGGCCGAGAGCGCGCTGCAGCTCCTTGGCGTCAAGGTGGCCGCTGCCGTCCGTGTCAATGGATGTGAACCACTGCAGGGGAGTGGAGCAGGCTGCGCATGTGATCGAGGGGCAAGTACGTTGATGGTGTTGCGCTTTTGGCATGCTATCCAGTCCTGACTGCATTGCCGTCCTGCAAGAACAGCACATGGTGGTCATGGCCGCTTGCTCGTCGCTGGCGGGCTGCGTTGATACACTACGTCCGCTGGTAGTCCTGGTTGAATAGAAATACACACGTTGGACTTAGTAAAGCGACCGGACTATCAGGAAGCGTGCAAGCACACCTGACGTAGCTGCTGATCCGCCATTTCACTCCCGCGTGGCGTGCCAAGCTCCCGCACTGCGACTCTCACTGCACAAGAACGCTTTTTAATTTTTCAAGTGCCTTATGAGGCCTGTTGCTGCCGACAGGAGCACGTTCAGATCACGGGACGTCAGATGAAAATCAGCGGAGCTTGAGAAGGGAGCTACGGTAAGACCTTGTAGGGCAAAGTAAATGCCAGTACGGTATCGAGACAGAGAGACTGACGGTGGCAAATTGCAGGGCGGCTTTACAAACGCGTCTCATCATCAGCCACAAGGTGGCGTTCAATCTGTGCGGTCCTATCCCCTGCCTGACGAATGTCCCAGCTGCTTACCCTACGCATAGTTTAATCCCTTACGCTTGAGAATTTACCTGCTCCAACGTGCACTGGGTCACGACTGGCTGCGAAGTTGAGCACCTGGCAGCAGGGTTGAAGTGGTGTTGCAGGACACAGCACCTCGCAACAAGCGGCTGGCCCAAGCTTCACCCCTGGCACCCCTAGCTAGAGGTTTCGAGATAACGGGTCACAACAATGGCTTTGCGATTGTATGATACACCAGGAATTGATGGGCACGTGAGCCACGTTGAAACTGCGTTTGCGCGTTGTGGCAGCTCTGGGCAGTGCGGTGGGCCTGGAGTACTGTGCATGGGCGACAGCAGCAGCTGGTGTTTCTGTCGGCGGTGCTACTGCATCATGGCCGCAGCCAATGGCTACCTGTGCATGCTTTTTATCTGAGTACAACGTTGGCACCCCGTTTTTGTTGCACCATTGGTCAAATGACTCATCGTCAATGTGTTGACAGCGCCGCAGCACCCACAGAGGCCAATTGCTTCTGTTTCAGGCCTGCACGTTGTGTACAATGGGTCAGCTGCTACGGATGAGCTCGTCAGGCAGGTGACAGCCTCGTCATCAGACACAAGCTCGAGGACCACGACCTGGCATAGGCAAGGACCATGTGTGCGCTGCTGATGTTATCTGCCAAATCTCACTATTCGCGACAGCGAACAAGCAGGCTAAAGCGAACGTGCCACCGAGTCTCGATGGGTTCACTGTAGCGGCGGAAGACTGTAGGCGGGCACACACCGGCCGAGAGCACAAGCTCAGCCACTACTGACAACATGTTGGCCACTATGCTACGGTCATACCACCATGAAAACACCCTATCCCATCAGAGCTCGGAAGTCAACTGTGGTTGGGCTTGCCTAGTATTGGGTTGAGGTATCATGTGAGAACCCCAAGTGCCACAGCGTTCAAAACGGTGGGGGGTGCGTGTGGCTCATCACCAGACACACACCACTCCATAACCCAACGCGGCGCCGCTTGCAGCGTGGCTTTTAGTCGCGTGAGGCGTCAGCGTGGTCTCTCTCTCTCTCCTCCTCTCAGGTTGGCCACTGCCAGGAGGCCCAAGCCACCTGCAAGTCATTGTTGTGACACCCAGAACAACACAAACATTTCTTGACGGCTGGAGCACTGAGCTGCGCGGCTGCTTCGACCACTTTCCGCGCTTTTACAAGTATGTACATATGCTTTCACAGGTGTGTACATGCACTGTCACAGGTGGGTGCACGCGCAGGGACTCCTGGTAGGGTGGCCGGTCAATTCTTTGCATTGGGTCGGTGGTCAGCCAGCTTTCGTCACCATCCAGCCATTGGTGTGGCCTGGATTCAAACATTCATGAGCTTTGTGCATGCATCTCTGCAACAAAACTCCATCATCTTTGCCAGATGTAGCGCAAGATTTGATGTGTCATCCTGCACATACAGGTACAACATGAAAGTCAGTGGCATCTGGGTCCACTCACATGCCACTCGGGAGATTTCCAAGGGGCAAATAATGGGTGGGGCCAAAGTGGCACCTGATGGCACTCGACAGGCACCTACCAGGCACGTGGCATTTGAATGCCACCCATATTTGGGTGGAACTTCGGTGCATGCGCCGGGTGGCGCCTCAGCGACGCGTTCCTGGAGAGTATGTCACATACCTTGACTGACACCAGCTCTGTACAAGACGCGCATTGTGTGCGTCCAAGTCTTGCTCATGCGCGCGGGCTGAGGCAGCTAGCCCTGCTTTCTGCGTGGCGGCTGCAGCCCTCCTTGTGACATGGGGAGTTTGAACATGTGGTAGGTGGCCTCACATGCACACATTATCACATTGATTGTGCTACCCGAACCCAGAATACTTGTTGCGTTGGATTTATAGATTTTCCCTACCTGCTGTCATGTGCCACGGTATGGACTTGTTATGTTCATTACGGTTACAACGTTATCTCTCACTCACAAAGTTTACAGCGTTATCTCTCACTCACAAAGTTATCTCACACCCACAAAGTGTATTGCAAACTGCACACGCGAAGAGATTGTTGCAATGTGCAACCTTATTGCGGGTGTCGACTTGGCGGCTGCGTAATCAAAAGCATGCGCCCTGTACCCTTCCTAGAACTGGACAAAGGTTATAACAGTGTGTCTACACTCTGCCAACTGCACATGCATGCACGCGCTGAAACACACACAGCTGCATTATTCACTCTGCTCTCAACTTCTCATAATCACGCCTTGCCTGAAAGAGTTACGCCCGAAGCAACATTGCCAGCCTTGTCAACTGCGCACAGCCTGAACGTGTGCTTCTTGACCAGTGCAGCTGAAGCGATGTTCACCGTTGCCGTGCCACGAGTGCCCGTAAAGGTGATTGGCAAACCTGTTCCAGAGGCGCATTTGGCCTTGGTAGACCCGGCAGGGTTGTACACCAGCACGTACTTGTCGACGCCAGACGATTCAGTTTTTGGGTCGGTGGCAGCAGCGGTGAAAGTCACTGTGAAGTTGGTACCACTGTACACACCTGTGAGCATGATGTCCGCCTTTTTCATGGTGGGAGCTGTCTTGTCGTAGAGAATGTTCGTTGTAGCCGGGCCCCAGGGCACTGTGTCGGCCTTGGAATTACGGAAGTAGGCAGTAATAGTCCGATTCCCCTCGCGAGTGAATTTTGCGGTTGCGGTCGCCCCAAGGGTGACGAACTTGGTGCATTTGACTGGAGGAGGCTTGTCAATGATGCATCTGTGAGGGCACAAGAAATGATCACGGGAGGAATTATTCTTGTGTAACCTGACATGGCCATAAGCAATCAACAGGACCTGCACACGAGCCCCTCAGCACAGCAAGTAATATGTCCTCACATTTGAGCGGCATTGGCCGTGGCTTGCACACTGATCGTCTTTGTTTTCGTAGTGGCCACCGTGGCACTGATAAGCCCGGATTTCGCGTCCAGCTGAGTGGACGCAGTTCCGGGGTTTGGCGACGTGTTGTTTGCCGCATCTCGGAGGAAGACGAAAACCGTCTTGGCCCCGTCCCCCGCAGCCAGGTTGTGGGGCGCAGGAGTGACAAATGGAACAAAGGTGGTGCAGTTACCAGGGGTGTTGGAAATGCACCTGTTGATGTGTGTGGGCGGAGTTGGGGGATGCCACATGACTTCAGGTTGCCTTGGATAGACATGCCCCTTTGACCAGGGTCGGGGTGCAAATGTGTACCCGCATATCCGTGTGAGCGCTGCGTGACACATCGAAATAATCGAAATCTGGTGGAAATGAGGGGCAAATGCAATTTGACATCACCGCTCATAACCTGCTGGCTCCACAGAAAATAAGTTTGCTCATCACCCCACACACCCTGCCCCAGCTCACATGGAGGTAGCATTTGGGGATATGACCAAGTTGACGCTGGTCTTTGGTACCTTGGCTGGGCTGGACACTCCACCCTGGGTGATGACAACCTTGGGCGGAATTCCCGCTGCAGTGGCACCGTCAAACACCACTTTGATGGGCGTGAGAGCAGACTGCCCAACCACCTGGCTCACAGCACTCTTGCTAATCTTGAAAGCATCGAGTAGAGGGTTGGCTTGGAGCAAGTGCCGGCCCACAGACGAACCATCATACAGCTGTGCGGATGTGCAGAAAGAAACAAATGCGCAAGTGGGAGTGAGAAGCACAAACGCGGCAAACTCGACGACAGCCTGGTTGCAGCCAACAAGTTTGCGCAAGCTAGCCAGCCAGCCAGCCGTGCAGCATGTGTTCACGCGTTGACCTCACAATTAAAGAGCGAAGGGAAATGGCCTCACCCTGTAGATGATGAACACAGGCTCAATAGATGTGTCGAGCTTGGTTGCCAGCGCATCAGCAACTTGTCTGGCTAGGGTTGGGTTGTTTCTGGGTGGGGTGTGGGGGTGTGCGGGTGGGTGGTTGTGGATGACACAGTTTTGTGAGGGTTGCCGCAGGACTGGAGGGCAGTGATTTGGGCCACAAAGAACAAAGACGCAAGTTGGGCATCAACAGAAAGGTGCCAGCAAGAGCAACCAGGTCGGGTAACAGAAATTACCTAAACACTTTTGTTTAATCAAGTTAGGTACATTTTTGGACAGATATATATTCTTTTGTGACTAGTGCCCCCACATTGATCAAGAGATCGAATCAATTTTGTGATGGCGGCAGCACAGCTACACCAGCGGCACCCATTGTCATTACTGACTCAGCCAATGTATTGCAGACTCACATCCAAGGAACTGCGAGGAGCAGTAGCCTAATAAGGACGTCGAAAGGAGATGCGACTGAGGTGGCCAGCTGCACGGTCGCACCATTCAGAGAAATAGTTCCAGCATCCACCTGTAGGTTTGTTGCAAAGCATGTGAGAATTGTTGTAAGGATTTGCTGAACCTCGTGCCACAAGTAGTGCACCGCGATCTGCATTGGCTCTGAAAGTTCCGGTTGTCAGCCATTGACAGTACACTCACTGGGGTTGCGGGAGGCGAAGTGGACGGCGACGGCGACGGCGACGGCGACCTAGAAGGGGAAGGGGATGGCGACGGCGAGGCCGAGGGCGACGGCGAGGTCGTGGGCGACGGCGAGGCCGACGGCGAGGCCGGGGAGGAGGTCGACGAGGCCGACGGGGACGCCGACGGGGAGGCCCTTGGCGAGGCCGAGGGGGAGGCCGACGGCGAGGCCCTCGGCGAGGCTGACGGGGAGGCCGAGGGCGAGGCCGACGGGGAGGCCGAGGGCGAGGCCGATGGGGAGGCCGAGGGCGAGGCAGACGGGGAGGCCGAGGGCGAGGCCAAGGAGGAGGCCGAGGAGGAGGCCGACGGGGAGGCCGAGGGCGAGGCCGAGGGCGAGGCCGAGGGCGAGGCCCTCGGCGAGGCTGAGGGGGAGGCCGACGGGGAGGCCGAGGGCGAGGCCCTCGGCGAGGCTGAGGGGGAGGCCGAGGGGGAGGCCGAGGGGGAGGCCGAGGGCGAGGCCCTCGGCGAGGCTGAGGGGGAGGCCGAGGGGGAGGCCGAGGGCGAGGCCTGCAGGAGCCAGCGTCCATTCAACATTCCTGCGCATGCATGAGGTGTGGAGGTCTAAAAATGTCAGACGGTTTTTACGTGCTGGCACAATGCTACCACATAACTTTGGGAGAGACGCAGCTGACCCCTGCTTTAAGGATAAGGATTGTTACAAGATCCCGCGATCGCCCGCTCCTGGAGCCATCCTTCAAGGCAACCATGCCAATGTAAGTGTTCCTGCAGTGGCTGAGCCTCCGCTGATTTGCGTACCCCAATCAAACGCATGACAATGGAGATAGCGAAAAGTTCAAATGCAGCTTTGAAGTGGGCGCATTCCTGCATCATTGCAGGTATTGTTACTCACCACCAGCGCTTGAATGCTGCAGAACCCCGTACTGAGGGTGTCCTGCCGTGCAGCACACCCCGACCATAAGCAGAAGTGTCGTGCACACCGCATGGCTCCTCATACTTGCTTCAATCCTGTGTCAAAGTGAGCAGATTATTCGGTGCCTGTGGTGTTTGCCTGCAGCTGTCCGTGTCTGGCTGCTGGGATCCCAGCTTCAAACATAGCATCCATTGCGACACAACAGAGAGACTTCATGCACCACCATTGGCAGATGGGTCACTGCTCACAGTGTGATGGCCCGAAGACCCGGATGACCAAGTTGACGCTCGTCAGTGTGGGCTGGCGGGGAATGGACGGGAGGGCAACCTGCGCAATGGTCGTGCCGGGGCCACATTTGTGAGCCCACGTCGGTCCATAATATCGAGTTTCAACGCCAAGATTGTGTAAGTTACGATGACGAGCAGACGCGCGCGAGGGCTCACCCGGAATGATGAGCCGTCAGCTGGGGGAGGGTACGCGATTGCAGACGATGGGCCGAGATAGTCGGCCAACCGACGGTTGAAACGTGATCTTGAGTGACGGTAATTAATGTGACTGCCCAACCAGTCTCTGACCGGAAGCCCTAAACCTCCACGGCGCCCGACCGCCCAGCGACCCGGCCACCTAGCGAAACACAGGTGCCCGCACGCTGACAATCAAGGTGACAAGCAGAGCAGCTGCCTTACTCTCCTCTGCCACGGTTTGGTTGAAAATCGGACTTGATGGCTGGCTCTTCATGGTTCATTTGACAGCAGTGCTGGGCGCACTTAGTCAGCTGACAAACAGCTGCCATGCAGCCAGCTGGAGACAAGCACGCTCCAACACCTACTTGCATTGCTGGAGATAGAGAGAGAGCGAGAAACTACACAGTCGAGGTTCCCCGTGTAAATCAAAGGAAATAAAGGGGGGCTGGCTTGTGGGGGCCGAGGCCGCCGCGCCGACGGCTTGTGGGGGCCGAGGCCGCCGCGCCGACGGTGGAGCGGCCCCCACCAATAATGCAAGGTGATATCACAATGCAAGGTGATATCACCTTGCATTGGCCCTTTATTTCTCCATCAATGGGGGAAGGGCCAACACCCCTTCGCTTCGTTACTCCTGACAGGCGCTTCGCCCGCAGGCCTCCTGGGCTCTGCGGGCCTGAATGTTGTGATCCCGTTTGTTACCCGCGTGAGTGTGCAGCTGTTGGACCGTTGTTGACACAAGGACATGTGACCCCATGTCATTTAGCAGCATAGCAGTGTCCTTGTGAATTGTCCCTGAGACACCCAGAACACTGGAGTGGAGTTGGACTTGTTGAGCAGGGCGCGCCCGCGGGGCCCACGTAAGCTCAGCATATTGGTCTTGCGCGTGCCTTCCTGTTGTTCTGGCAATGCGTCCCTGCATTACTTCACCTCAATTAGGATAGGTGGATTTTGCGGGGCGGCGGGGAGCGAGGTGGGGCTTCTTTTGCGGGTCCTGCGTTCCCCGTGCGGGCAGTCTCTCACAGCTGGGGGTGAACATGTTCCCCGGTGTACACCGGGGTTGGGACCATTTGTCATAGCTTTGTCTGTGACCTGCGCTGCGTGGTGCAACAACAATGCTGGTTTATTGTGATGCTGAGCAGTCAACATGCCCGCCTGGCCCGCCCATGTACATGGTCGCAGCAGGCGCCGCAGCAGCAGCAGCTGGCATCAGCGTGTGGCAAGCTGCTGCTGACCTCTGCACAATGCTGCTGCTGCTGCCCATCTTCACGTGGTCCCCTGCCTGCATTCACTTGCAGAGATGCCAGCCTAACTGAAGTCCTTGCTGCATAAAGCCACACTCTGTGGTCATCTTGACACGAATCAACAGAACAAAGTCCAAAGGAAAACCTAGCGCTACTGCGCCTCCCGCGTATAAACACGTTTCTTTGAGTGGGGTGCCGCTCACTCAGTCAATCGGCGGGTATGTTGCCTGAGTCGTGGCAGTGACCAAACTCCCCTAGCGAGGTGGTGGGTGTCAAAGCGCACTGAGCCTCGGCGAGGACCCCCCCGCTTGTCCCGTTGTCGTTTATTGGCCGATATCTGGCTGGCGGCGTGTTTCATGAGCGGAGGAGCCCTCCATTGGCAAGGGTAGGGAGACTCGCACACACCCCACGCGGGTGTGTGCGAGTGTGGGTGAGCAACGGTGACTCATTTGGATGGCCGGTTGCCAGGCGCGACCGCAAGTGCAGCAGGTCTCCGGGGACGCGGTTGCCGGGTGCTGTTTTTCGCTTGCTGAACACTTGGCGGCCTTTCAGCTCGCACTGCACCCACCCGCCGTCGCGGGTGAACATGCACACCGTGTCTCGGCTACAGACGTGGGCAGCCTGCGGAAGGCAGGTGGGCACGCGGACCGGGGACAGCATGGGGTCGTGTCCTTACATTTCCTCGAAGGTCCCGGTTGATTACTTCACAACTGAGTTCAGAAGGCGGTGTACGTCCGTCACGTTGGGTCAGGTCTCAGGTGTCACAGTGTCACTGTGACATCATCAGGACCAGGTGGCCGGCTCACTTCGTGAAGAAAGCGGAGCGCACTATCAAAACCACAACAGCAACCCGTATTCTTAAAGCACAACTCATCACACGGTTGCAAGCCCCGCAATCGTGGACTCCAGTTGATTTGGCGAACATTACCATGGTACATGCTCGCGTACGGGTGCGAATAATCACAGTCGCTACCAATCTACAACATCAATTCAAATACAACCTGCCGCATATGCACGTCTGATCCCACTTTCAGTGCGCGATCTTGCAATCTGTGAGGAATGGAGCATGGTTTTTTCTCCTGAAACCAGGTCTCATACCAAGATAGGCACTCTGGAGCTCGTGCGGGGCAGGTGGGAACTGGAGTGAGTCCGTTCACAGCTGCAATCACTGCTGGACCCCCATTTATCAATGCTCTGCCACGCCGTTCCCTTCGCATCATCACGCCCAAGGAGGGGGTTTTCATGGACTATGAATACATGATTCTAAAGTGACCTCATGCTAGGTCTTGCGCTGCTGCGCTCTCGCAACGCTCGGCGTCCCTAACATACGCACTTGCTTGCCATACCAAAACGTGCTGGCGCTATTTTGTTAAGCATGCCCACTGAGGGAGAATTTCCCAGAATTCGTCAGCAGTACACATATTGAAATTTCAACGTCGTGGCCAATTGTGAGCCAATACAAATACTGCCCAGGCCCTAGCTTTGGCACTGCCCCTGGGGCCCACTCGGGCACATGCTGCAGTGTGTGGCTACACTGTGCTGCTGGCCACGCACCGTGGAGCAATCTGTGCAAGCACTGCAAGGACGAGGGTTTTCCCTAGTCGGTCCTTATGAGTCTGGAATAAGGACCATGTAAGGACTTTCTAAGGACGGCCTAAGGACTTTCTAAGGACTCTGCCAAGCCGCTGGGCCGCGGGATAGGGACGCGTAAGGACCGAATAATGACCAGATAATGACCACTTAAGGAATCATTGCACTCTTTCCCTAGCGGATCAGCCAGGCCGCTCTGGATAGCTGTATTTGGCATTCCTTTGCACCTTTATATACTTATATGCTTTACATTGCAAATCTAAGTTGCTGTATGGTTATGGCATGCGCCAACGGCTGGGGATGGAAGCATGTGTGCGTGCGCAAACACAAACGTGGTGCACGTGCGCGCACACCCAACGGCTGCATGCAACGGACAGAAATGGAGAACAAGCTCAGGTTTGCAACCATGCGTGGAAGTGCACATGAAAGTAATCAACACATTTCACAATCGCAAACAACAGGAGCGCTTGTGCCGCTTGCTGGCGAGCTGGCCGCCGCCGCATAACGACTAGACATGCGTATCCAACTGCCGCCCTCAGGTGTGGCCGCACGGGACATCGCCAGAGGTCTGCAGCTAGTAGCACAGCCCCTGCGCCACGTGATCTTTGCGCACAGCGGCAGCCAGCAGCACGATGCGCCAAGACAGCGTCGGCGCATGCCAGCTGACGAGCCCTTGCTGTACTTGTGCAGACGCCGCCCGTGCAGTCGTCTCTTCTCCCTGTGATAGCAAGAGCATATATAGGCAAATTTCGGTTTGAGGGTTGCAGGATTGATGATTGTACGCAGCTAGGTTGATGCGTGTGATGCTTAGGGCGAGCGGCTGCCGCCAACTCCAGCAGATTCACCCACCCCAGCCCTTGGCTTGCATCCCCAGCTGCCTCCCGTGATAAGCAAATCGTGGATTGCTCACGGCACAAACGACATGCCCCAGTCACTCACTTGTCGGGCCTGCTCTTGACCCGATGGAGGTTGGTGATGTTGATGCAACGTTGTGGCGCCAGCCATTGATTGAGCGCCGCACAAGCCAGCACGATCCGACGGCCAAGCTCTGCAGCACCATGTGCTTCAGCACCCCCCTTGTGGGGTCGCCGAGTGTGGGGGCGCCATGCGCTTCAACCAGCAGCGCAAGCGGCTCGCGGGGAGTGGATGGCATGATGGCAGGCACTGAGCGCTGCGGTGCAGGTGCAGCGCCACCACCACCTGCAGCCATGGAGAGCGGGCAGCGATTCAGATGTCCAGCATGATCCGGCTATGGCGCTTGCTGATGCGCGAGGCTCAAGATCGCAACATCACCTAACAACCCAATGCGTGTGCGCACCAAGAGATGATCCCCAGGCGGTACTCACCGATTTTGAAGCCATGTATCATGAGTATCATGCGCTTGAGCACAAAAGGCGCCCAGACAGCGAAGAGCCGTTCAGATCACTGAGCATGGTGATAGTACGGAGTATACTAGACAAAACAGGTAAGTCAGGTTCGGTGAAGTAATGAGAACGCTCAAACAGCGTTATGGACGAGTATCTAATGCGCTGAGTATTGTGCATCTAGCTATGCAGCAGCTGCTGCAGCGATTCACACGCAAGGCGCCACGATCATATGTGAGATCATGCATATGATTTGATAAAATAATATTTAACATTATGTGGATGGAAACGACGCAATTGAGCCATCAAACATGGCAGTATGCCACGGGTCTGAGAGCTCCACATCATTGTGTGCGCAAAGGAGCAGTAATATAATGCTAAGTTGCGTTGTATATATGTTTTGCCGAGGCTGTCCTGCCATACCACGCCCAGGCCTGCACAATGGCCACGCATGTGCAAGGGTTTTCCCTACCAGTCCTTACAGCAGGGACGCGGTAGGGACGCTTAAGGACGCGCAAGGACCGACCAGGGAAAACCCTCGTCCTTGCAGTGAAGCTCTATGAAATGTGTATTTTGCCTTTATGTTGACATCTGGCCGTTTGCGTGGATGGCACCAGGGGCCGCTGCTTGCTGAGGTGGCGATCTGGGACCCGCTCCGGTGCATGCACTCCACGCTGCAGGGCAGACCCCACGCTGGCACGCGATCCATTCGTTCTTCCTCCCCGCGTTTTTACTGACGGTTTGAATCAACTCCGCTGCTGGGGTGCTAATAAATACCGTTGCTACCAATCTACAACACCATTTCAAATGCAGCCTGCCGCATTTGCACAGCCGATCCAAATTTCAGTGCGCGACCTTGCAATCTGTGAGGAATGGAGCATGGTTTTTTCTCCTAAAACCATTTCTTATACCAAACTAGACACTCTGGAGCTCGTGCGTGGCAGGTGGGAACTGGAGTGAGTCCGTTCGAAGCTGCAATCACGGCTGGACCCCCCACTTATCAATGCTCTGCCTCGACGTTCCCTTCGCACCATCACGCCCCAGGAGGGGGTTCTCATGGACTGTAAATAAATGATTTTGAAGCGACCTCAGGCTAGGTCTTGCTTGCCCTGCCCACTTTTGGAGGCGGACACGATGGGCCGTGGGGCCGTCGCGGCGACCGTCTCCCGATAAGTCTTGCAGGTTGCAGCTGCAGACGCGGTAACAAATCAATCAATGGATTGCGCTGCTGCGCTCTCGCAACGCTCGGCGTTTCTAGTTGCTTGCCGTACCAAAACGTGCTGCCGCTGTTTTGTGACGCATGCCCACCGAGGGGAACTTTCCCAGAACTTGTCAGGAGTACACACATCAAACTTTCCACTTGTGGAAGCGGTGAGAGCGCTGCAGCACCCTGTTTCAGGCCTGCCTGTTGCTACGGATGACTTCATCAGGGAGGTGACGGCCTCGCCGTCAGACGCAAGGACGAGGACCTGGCAAGGACGATGACCTGGCCAGCTGATGTTGCTACCGTTTCATATCCTAACAGCGCGGTACCCCGCTCGCCTGCTGGATCCTTTGTTTTTTAGATGTGGCGACGATTTTTATCCTTGTAACAAGACAAGATCCCACAGATCACCTGCCTTGTCCAGCGTTCTTTCCCGTCGCTTGGCCAGCCTGGAAACGGCACCATGGGGCTCTCACGGGGCGCGTTCAAGATTGCCGTAGGGTTTACAGCGACGTACGTGCTCATTTGGGGCAACTGGGACCGCTTGGCGAGCGTGTTCAACGATAGGTGAGTTCAGGGCCATTAGGCGCGATTAACTCAAGTCTATCAAACTCAGAAGTGGCCGCCAGGTGTTGCACAGATGAGGTGCAGTCGGGACAAGTGTTGCGCCGCCAGCGCCGCAAACGCTGTGCAGTGCAGCGCCTCTCCAGGGTTTGGGGCAATAGCCTTTGCTGCTGCAACACTCCTGGCGGCTGCAAACACCATCGCAGGCAATTGGAGCGGATCGCGCAGCATAAGCTGCAAGAAAAACTGGCGAAGGAACGGCAGGAGCTCTTGGCGCAGCGTTGAGCACAGCAGGAGCTCCTCTCTGTTCGTGACCGCGCTCTGTACTTGCATCCTAGTTTCCATCGTTACCGTATCTTCTATCTGTCGCTTGATCATGCATTTCTCGACATCCTTTTGCTGTAAAGGTGGTTGGTGGTAGACAGATAGGCCCAATTGTAGAGCAGCGTTCTGCGAGGGGATGCCAGCATGCGCACTGCCTGTTGGACACACCTGCACCAGAGAGGGACGCGGCCTGGTGCAGTGGACGCACACACATGAACATAGTGCTGTTGGTTTCATCAAGGTCACAGCTGCACGATTGTGTAACATGGCTGGCGCAAGGTACACACGTTCTATATTGAGCTGACAGCTTCTAAAAATGCTGGGCGAGGACATGCAGCGTTGCCAAGAGCAAGGCTGAATACTCAGCTGGCTAGTGTCATCACTGTGAAATGGACATCAATGTGACAGCTACGCACCACATCAATCACATCCAGTCGACGGCTGCAGCTAACAGCAGCGACACCAGTGTGCCAACAGCCCAGGCAGCGATTTGTGAGTGCAACCCCATTTAATCAGGGGTGTGCGTGGTGATGTTCACCAGATTGCACCTGAATGCGCCTTCTGGCGCCTTCTGATCCACGGTGGTGTGAAATGTTGCGATAACGCATGAGCAATAGCGCGTGAGGATGGCGTACAGGACGACATTGAGGCTACATGCTGTCGGTGCAGTGTCCCTCCCTGTTGCGAGCACAGTGAACCTGGCTTGGCATGCTATGGGCTTTGCCGCGTACCTTGGCGCTACCACTACAATCGGATTTGGCGTTGAAGCTGCGCTGGTGTCATGCACACCACAACAGTGCCCATGTTGCATATACCATGCCCTGCACAGTGGACTGCAAGGGGCCCGACAATGTCAGCAAGGCAGCACAATCAACCTCACAGCTGTACCTGCCTGGATGTAAAGCTGCGACAACATCCCATCCTGACTCTGCATCCAGCAAGACTGCCAGGCTGCTCTGGCACATGCGCAGTGCATTTGAGTGACGCCCCGCCCTCCCTAGACATTGCCGCCCTTCATCGCACCGCAATCCTGCGAAACCGCCGACCAGCCCAACAACAAAAGGGTCATGCAGGCATAATCCCAATTTAAGCAACCATGTGCGTTGTGCATTCTGTGCATTTCAAGCCGCGTGTATGGCCATAGATGCAAGGGCGGTGAGACACCGCTGTCTGCGTGGCACACCAGGTGTGCACATCGCAGGCGCCCGCTGCCACACGAGTCGGTGTGGCTTTCATCCCAATATGTATCTGAGCGTCGTCGATTGCGGGGACAATTTTGCGCCCGACAACTCTTGCAAATCAGGGGCCGCGCACAGCTTATTCAACAGGGAAGCAGAGGAGACAGCGCATTTGCTGCAGCAACATCTTGTCCGCCCACACTGCTCCCACACCTCAACCCATCACACCAAATCGTCACCATGGCCCTTGCCATCCGTCAAAACGCTGCTCTTCGCGCGGGCAGGCCCGCCGTGGCCTCCCGGCGCCCTGTGATGGTCCGGGCCGCTGCTGTGGGAGGTATCGCGGGGGAGGTGCCCGATATGAACAAGCGCAACATCATGGTGAGCAATTTGTCTGAAAACTGCTTATTTCGCGAGCCCCGGGGTGTCGGGAGGCCCTGAAGGACAAGTGCTGCTGCCTCTATCGCATGGAGAGGCTCGGCACGCGTCGCACGAGGCCAATTGTGCACCTCCCTCGCCCACAACTATTCCACATCGCCCTCCTTCTAGAACCTCATCCTGCTCGGCGGTGTGGCTACTCCCGCCACGGGCATGCTGGGCGCCTACGCGGTGTTCTTCGTGCCCAAGTCGTAAGTGGCGTCGCCCCAACGACGTAGCTTCAAGCATATGCATCTGATTCTCTATGGTCTCGCAGCACGCTGCCGGCGCGATCAGATGGTGCACGCGAGGGGTGCTGAAACGGGGTGGCTCAGACCGGACTGCGCCCATCACGACTCGCTCATTGGCGCAGGGCTGGCGGTGGTGCTGGTGGTCAGGTCGCTAAGGACGCGCTGGGCAACGACGTCAAGTCCAACGCCTGGCTGGCGACCCACGCTAAGGGCGATCACAGCCTGGTGCAGGGCCTCAAGGTGCGCGGGCGCATCCATTGCCCCGATCGCACAGCGCGTTTGCATCGCAAGATAATAGGCATGCATTTGCCAGCTTCTCATACTTCGGGAAGCCCAGCCTGGGTCCATACCACTGCGATCTCGAACCCCTCCTCTCTCGCCAGGGCGACCCCACCTACCTGGTGGTGACCCCCGAGGGCACGATCGAGAACTACGGCATCAACGCCGTGTGCACCCACCTGGGCTGCGTTGTGCCGTGGGTTGCGGTGAGCATTGGCGGGCGGGTCAAGCAGTGCTGCAGTATGCTGATGAGAGCAGCATTCCTGTCGTGAAAGCAGCAGCAGCAGCAGCAGCAGCAGCATGGATCTTTTCATGGCAGTAATCTAGCAGCTTGGGCAGCAGCAGCAGCAGCAGCAGCAGCAGTGGTATCAACAAGTGGCGCATGAGCAGGACGGGGTGGCACCAATGGCCAGGAACGGGCAGGCAGGCGACTAGCGACGTCTGGCCTGGCGCAGCAGCTGCTCAAGGCCTGTGGCTGTAGGCAGACCGGCTTTCTGCCTGGGGGTTTGCGGGCAAGCTTCACAGCAACATACAGTATACGGCCGCTTGGCAGTTGACAGCAGTGGTGGTGTCTTCAGGCTCCTGGGAGCCATGAGCAGTTGGTGCTCTCGGCACACAGCAAGCAGAAGCTGGTGGCCATGCGCAGGCAACAGCCACGGGTATACACTGTTGGTGCAGATGGCGATCATGTTCAGCAGGAAATAGAGCTGTCAATCAGCAGGAATTGGCTGTTGCTGCACATGCCACATTGGGATTTCGCTGTTGCTGCACATGCCACCCTGAGGCAACCCCGCTTGTACCCGCAAACCCGGCAGGCCGAGAACAAGTTCAAGTGCCCGTGCCACGGCAGCCAGTACGACGCCACTGGCAAGAAGATCCGCGGTCCTGCTCCTCTGGTGTGCACACGGGCTGGCTCGCTTGCAGTGGGGGGCTTGTTTGGGACGAAAGGGTGCACGCCTGGCTTTGTACTGGGTACAGGAGTGCGACGGTGCAAACAAGCTTGCTTCTGACAAGATTGCATCGTGATGTCTATACACAGTCGCTGGCTCTGGCCCATGCGAACGTGGACGCCGCCGACAACGTTGTGCTCAGCACCTGGTGAGAGCCGCAACGCAGTCTTGTTCCTGCACGAGGGATGCTGCCGGCTGCTCTCCAGCAAAGCAGCATTCTCATTCCTGTGTCCTTCTCACACAGTCCCTTCACACGGCCATGTGATGCGTGCTAGGTGCGCCGTGCTGTTCGTTTCCATGGGGGCCTGTTGCGCAGCTGTTGCCAACCCCGGCCACCACCTCGCCCTCTGCAGGTCCGAGACTGACTTCCGCACCGACGAGGCCCCCTGGTGGAAGTAAACTGGCGGCTCACACAGCCCGCCTGCAGCAGCGCCAGCGCCCGGCACGGGAGACCGTCCCCGTCCGTGGCGCTCAGTTTTGTGTGTGCGCAGCCCCCGCATTGGTGGCAGAGAGTGCACCGCTACGCTCGGCCTTGCACGGCAGCGGTACTGGCGCCTGGTCTGGTCCCGAAACCAACTGGGCTTTGAGCTCTAGATTGTGAGGTGGCCTCTGTCGGATGCTGATCCTGCAGCTGCCGCGTGGTGGGTGTTCCCATGCAGTTGCCCATTTTCTGGGTGCCCTGCAGCGGACTTGACGACCCCTGTAACGTTGACCCCTGGCCATTAAGATGTCCTGTTGATTAGGGCAGTGCACCAGTGACCACCGACAGCGATGCTCGCAAGACGTAAACGCCGGCTATGAAGCACCTGCACGATTGAGCACTGGTCTGTGCAGGCGGTTGCATATGCCTGCAGCAGCTACCGTAATCATCACATGCGCAGCAGCCCTCAGTCACACCCTGCACACCTGCCCCACAACAATGCCTGGGAAGCCTTTTTAGGGCTACCTACCTGGGCAAGTAATCACGATGCTACAGTTTGGCTTGTTGATGTGCTGCGCTGCATGTCCCTACCTGATGCTATGCATAGAAATGATACTCGCAAACTTGTGTTGATCACATGCCAACCTGCTGCATCCCGCTACGACTCGATGAAACGGTCTAGTCTTCCTGCTTGGTGCGGGTCAAAGCACTACTGCAGGCATGCATGCACATGCACCGTCAAGATAGCTTGATTCCCTTCGCATGGCCCCTAAACACTCCCACCTGCCATGCGCCCTGCGCAATCTTATGGCAGTGATGCTGGCATGGACCAGCAGTGAACAGTCCGCAGCGTGCTGGTGCGTGCCCGGTGGAAGAGTAGTGGGCTTTGTTGCGCCTTCCATGCTCTGTGGCGGCCCCTACTGTACGCCGCCCGCCCAGCGTTTGGCACAATTGACAAAGTATTATAGAGGGTCTTACAGTACATCTGCAAGGATTACATTCGGTGAGAGAGGCCATCACGGTGTGGGACCGCGCGCACTTTTGGGGACTGGCTTCGTCTTGCAGCAAAGAAGCGGCCCTTATGATCGTTACTTATGTGCAAGCTCGTCTGGGCTGGGGGCTGGCGAGCGCAGCCGGGCATTCAAAACGCCCCACGACCAGGCTGCGAGGCACCAAATATATGGGCGGCACCTCACAGGGGGTACCAGGGCTGGTCCCGAAACGCACCTGGCTGCAATTGAGCCACTTCTAGGCTAGCCAGCACGACGACGCCGCTCTTCGCAAACTGCGTTGCCGCCTGATTGTGATGCGGGCGTGCAGGGAACAACCCACAACGTGACGCTGCGCTTGCTGGAACAAACCACCCCGCAGGCCTTGGTATCACATGCACAGCTCTGCTCGACAAACGGCCAAGTTCACGCCATGATGACCTCGCCGCTGAGCCCGTCGCGGCGCGCATGCAACACCAGCGGCCCAGGCCACGACCAGCAGCATGACGCTGTGCTGTGCGACCACACGCTGACCCAGGTGCTATCTTGGCTGGGCGTGCTCGACCTGGCCGGCGCCGCAGGGCTGGTGTGCAAAGAGTGGCACCGCGCTAGCATCTGCAAGGAGGTCTGGCGCAGGTGGGGGTCGGTGGGCCAGCATGGCGCCGCATGGGCCCAGCGGTTGCGGCCGCTGTCCAGGTTGCTGTCGCTGCTTTCTTGGACAACAGCTGCACCCAACAGGCCCTTGCGTGCTACATGTGATCCGATGCATGCTAGCTGGGGTGTGTTTCTGTACCAAGACGCACGGCATGCGAACTGGCTAGCAGCACAGCAGCGGCACCGTGGACTCTGAGAAGCGCCTTCCACCCCCCACACCACCCCGAATTGCAGCCGCATGCATGCCAAGCTACTGCGGCTGTTCTCGGACCCTTTTGCTGCCACCGTGCTGATTGAGGCCCGCCCCGGAAGCGTATGCTCGCCGGCACGGCTCTTCAAGGCGGTGTACTGCTGCAACCTCATCCGCAACGGCGAGTTCCTCGAGCGGACGAACAGCACCCGCGGCTGCAACCCTGGCGGCAGCGGCCGCAGTGTCACCTGGGTGAGCAGGGGCGGGCAGATGCGAGGAGAGCAACGCGCGGGCATGGGCGCAGGCCTATGGCAGGGCCCTGGCCATGCGTCAGTGTGGGCCCTGCGCGCAGTGCAGGCGGCAGGCCGCAGAGCATGCCCTGACCTCTCTGGTTGATTTCACCCTTTCCATTGCTCTATGCATGCGGTGGTGGTGGTTCTTGCATCGTAATGCACATGTCTGTGCGCGCATGCTGCACGTTCTGCACTCATCCCATCCCACATGACTGCAAACGAGCTCACCCTTCTCCCCCACTTATACGGTACACACACATTCCCAGGTCTTGACCCACAACGGCAAGGGCCTCAGCTGGGAGTGAGTTGACACGCGCGCGTGCTTGCCCTTGCATGCGCACATGGTTGCACAAACGCACGCACACACACACACAAGAGCATGTAGCTACATGCATTCACATGCGCATGCACACACGCTTGCATACCCCCAGGTACCCCCTGCTCGACCCCGCCCTGCCGCTCCCGCCCGCTTCGGCAACGCACCTCGCCCGCGACGGCAGCCCCAGCCCAAGCGTCCACCGCACGCTCAGCGCCGCGGTCGACATCCGCTGGACAGGCCACGCGCTGCGCCGCACCCCAAGCGGCTGCGGCGTGACGGGCTGCGGTGCCAGCTCGACGGCCTCCGCCTCGCCGGGCAGCGGCGCCACCATTCTCAGCACAAAATTGAGCAGCACTGCCAGCAGCAGCAGCAGCAGCAGCAGCAGCAGCGTTGGCTCAGTGCCACCCGTGCGTGCAGCGTCTGGGCCTTTTGCTGTTGGCTGCGTGGCTCCAAGTTGCTTCCAATGGTCTGAGCTGGCGCAAGGCATCGACTTGGCACAGGCGCTGCAGGACCAGGCCGGCCTCACGCCGGCGCTGGCCGCCGCTGTACTGGGCTGCGGCGCCGCCGTGGAGTTTTCAGTGTGGGTCGCCAGCTCGGGTGGCGGCAAGGGCAGCAGCGGCGGCGGCGGGCTGGGCGAGTGCCAAGTCATCCTGGGGCTAGTGCCGCCGCAGGACGTCGCTGCGGCGGCTGCTGAGCAGCTGCTGCTCGAATGCATGCCAAAAGCCGTCGTGCCTTTCGGTGACCGGCTGCCCTCCGGCCTGCCGTTGCCCGAGGCGCAGCGCGCGTCCAACGCTGCCGCAGCAGAGGGCCTCGAGGCGTTGGGCCTTGCAGCGACGCGCCTCAAAGTCATCGGGCCCTTTGCCGCCGGCCAGCAGTGGGCGCAGGTCCGCTGCCGCCTGTGGCTGCCAGCACCGCCAGCAGGCGCGGGGGTGGAGGAGGTGCTGGCGCAGGCGCCCAAGCTGGTCGTTGCGTTGAGGGGCCGCTCCGAGGTCCGCGCCACTGGCCCGCGCGCCGTGCAGCGCGGGCCCAAGTTCATGGCGGCGCGCGTGGTGTTTGTGCCTCTGGACGACGAGCGCTCGGACCCGCTCAACGCCTCGGCCACAGCGTGAGGGAGCGGCCGCAGGTTGGCGGCATCAGGCCCGCAGCTGGTGGCAGCACGGCAAACGACTGCTGATGAGTTCTGGATTGCATTGAAGCCCACTCACGTCCCCGCGGGATGCCAAGCAGCGTGGCGCCTTGCGGCCTGGGTGGGCACAGTGAACTGATTATTCTTGCCGTGTGGCAGAGGCAGGACCGTGCTTGGCGCCCCGCAACAAACATTGCTTGCAGAGTTGGTGCGGGCATGCACGGAACCTGCTGTGGGCGCGCTTGATCATGCCTGATACCGGCAGTTTGTCCTCTGGAAAGGGGGGAAGGGCGGGGATTGGGCTGACCAGCACAGCCAAGCAACAACCTGCAGCAGCATGGCCACCATCCACTGGTTATGCCCCATCTGCATGCGGCCAGAGCATAGAGCATGAAGAGAGCGCACGCATAGGCCAATTCAAGTATTTTTCTATTTTGGATGGTAGTTTGCCACGTCCGCTGGTGTCATTGATCCGCGCACGTGGCCGCCAGCCCTGCCGGAACCCATGCACTGGACAGACCGTGCGGCCCCCACCTCGTGCTGCGGCATGGGTAGGGCGCATGCCGTCTGTGGTCTCCATGTCCCATCCTTGACGTCACGCAGATTGGTGTGGCGCAATTTGCGGTTTGGTTACCATTCGATCCCTGAGCCAACCTAGGAGCACCGTGGGGTCATGCGAAGCCTCCCTGCACTTCATACATGCGGCTTGCATTGTAGGAGGCCATTGGGCTTTGTTTGAGACCATCTGAGCAAGGGTTGATAAGGCAGCTTTGAGCACAATAGACATGTCTGACGTGTGTCCCGGCAGGCCCTGCACGAACCGTCCCGCGGGCTGGCTCGCACCTCTTGGCATGCAGTCAACACATGTGTTGCAAACGCCGTTGTGCGCTGCCGGGCCCGCGTGAGGTGACAAGAGAGCGTTTGCCTGCTGCTCTGGTGCATTTTCCTGAGCAACGCGAGCCTCCGCGCCCTTGGCGCGGCAACTTGTAGCTTAGGGGCACATTCTGGGCGCGTCTGCGTGCACATGTGCATGCACGTGCGCTCCTGCCGTCATGCTCAAATAAAAAACGTAGATTTGACAAGCCATATTGCAGGCAGTATGGCATATGTATCGTAGCAGCATCATGCGGACCGACCTGCCTTTGGCACGTATTTAGCCGTCCCATTTGAGCCTTCTCCGCCAATTCTTGGTGATGCCTGGGCCTGCAACACCCACACACTGTACACCTGACTTTGCCGAGAGCGCTAGCACTGCACCCAGTGCCCACTTGACTGCTGCCCAGGGGTGGTGGCAGGAGGACGACCCCAGCCGACCAGCGGTTGGTCGGAAGTGAGGAGCTTCTCTGGCTCAATTGTAAAACGCACATCATAAATGCAAGCATGATTTGACAGCCATTGTGAGCGGCCTGACAGCGTCAAAGTGTCCAGTGCTCTTCAACTGGTACAGCGCAGCTCACCAGCACAGCAGCCTGTTTCCACCGAATTTGCAGCACTATCCACCATTACCAACGCCAGGGATGGTGAATGGTTGGTGACTGCAATGTTGCTTTCATGCGCCCCTGCTTCGTGCAACAATTTCTTCGCAGCGCCACACGGCACTGCCAGTGCGCTCAGGTGCACGCCCATCTCGATCCTTGTTGCTGCGGTTGGGCAGCATGGATCACGCATTTCAAGTCAGGGTAGATTTTGCAGCTGTTCTTTTACGTCTCTCGTGCACCTGGAGCCTGCGCACCCCTAGCACCGCAGGCAACAAGGGGCACTGCTGCATACATGCAGCCTGCATGTATGCGCTGAGCGGTGGAGCATGTTCGCATGTACTGTGCAGGCTACTGTAGCTACCCATTTTAGCGTACAGTATGTAGTCTTTTTACACAGCTTGCGATAACTCAGCGCTCCTGCTTTAATCGTGAACCCGCAATTCAAGCAACTCGCTGCGCAGCGGTTCTCCCGCGAGAGAGCCATGAGAGAGCACGACATGGTAGTGGTAGTGCTATATAACAAACATGACGGACTGGACAAGCGGCCCTCGCTTTCTGCATGCCCCGCCTGGCACCGCGGCGGATGGTCGTGCAGGTGCCCAGGCCTGCACACGACAGCAGTGCGTGAGGCAAGGCTGCGCAGCATCGCTGAGCCTGAGGCGAGCGGCCCTTTGCAGCAGTGCGTAATCTTAAGGGAAACCGGGCAGCTGCCCGAGCTCCCTGGGTTTGTGCCGATTGGCAACGTATGCAATGGAGGCACATGCAGCCGCGCTGCCCGCATGCACGGCACCACAAGCAGCGAGCCGCGGCCGCCCATCACTGGCATGCAGCGCGTGCGGCTGGTGCGCGTCTGGGCTGCTGGCAGCGACGGCCAGCCATTGGTGGAGCTGGCCCATGGCCAGATGAGCGTTGCGTCTGCCTGCAGCGAGCTTCAGGTGCGGCTGCTGCTGTGAGGATGCATGGTGTCAGTTGGCAGGTGGCAGGGCGCGCAGGTCAGGGTGGAGGATGTGAGCGGGTCCCTGCAGGTGCCAGCATGCTAGCAAGGTCAGCCAAGGTCGCCGCACAGCCACGTCATGTAGGAGTCGTCAGGATCCCCTCAAACCCCTTCAGCGTGTGCCCTTTCCCCCAACAACACGTCCAAACCCATTACCCGTGCCCCCCACGCCCCCCCCTCCCAGAGCAAGATATGCACCAGCCCTCCGTTGCTCAACTCACCTACTCAGAACACAACCCGCCGCCCCCGCTCGCCTCCAGGCCGCGCTTTCTGCGCTTGACTGCAGCCTGGCGGGGCTGCAAGAGGCGAATACTCGCGCGACCCCGGGCACCTGTCAGTGCCCAGGGGCGGCGGCTGCCGCGGACGCCTGCCACGCGCACCCAGGAGACCCTGGGACAGCGTGGCGGACGGCCGAGTAATCGGCAGGGCGCTGGCTGTCGCATCGGTGTGGTCAGGGTTCGCCGCACTGCAGGGAGCTATCGCACGCGAAACGGCCTGCGGAGGCTGACTGCGCAGGGGTCGGACATTGGGCAGGCGACATGCATGTGCAGGGGGCGGAGTTGGTGATGGCCTGCGGGAGGATCTGGCTCTAGCCGGTGGGCTGGTGGTTGGTTGGCGGGGGGCGGGGCGTCCCAGCTGCTGCCCAAGCTTTGGGCGAAGCTGTCGACCCTTCTGCTGATGCCCTTCCATGTGCGTGCGCTGGGTGATGCAACACAGAGTTCTGCTCTGTTCCCTGTCGGGACCCGACAGTCGGGGCAGTTGCGCAATGGTCTGCAAACCTCCCCGCAGGCATCGAGGCTTGCAGACGAGCCTCCTGAGAAGCGTAAAGAAGTGTCATATATTGACAAGGTGCATGAATTTCAAGGGGCTTGGAGCGCTGCGGGCTACCGCTGTCTCCGCTCAGGCTCCTCTGGCACCGATGGGTGGGGCCCTGCATTCATCGCACCCCCAGGCGGTTGGGTCACAGGCTGGCACAGGGGTGCAGGGCAGCGGGGCGCGGGGCGCAGCACATGCTGGCAGACAAGCGGATCTCAGAACAGCACCCCTCACAGTCTTTTTGTTGCATGTCAGGGCCTTGCTGCCTGCGCGTTTGCAAAACGTATCCATGGCGTCGTTCGCCCGTTCCGCACCGCCGTCGCTTTGGCGCGCCGCTGCCAGGCGGTCGTCAGTCACATACATATGAGTAATGAACGAACGCTTTGTGTGCAGTCTCGTAATCGGTGCAAGATGCCAATCAGCGGTCCTGGGTGATGGCCCCAGCGCGGGACCCGCAACAAAAACCTTCGCAGTGCTCTCTGTGGCGGCCCCCTAAGTTAAACAAGATGCAATTGGTTTGAACTACAAAATTGACCACCTTGAGATAATTATTTCGACCAGCCTTCTTGTGTGCGCGCTTGGCCGACTGCACCGTGCGGGGACTGAGAGCGCGAAACAGAGCCGCCGAGAGGGTTGAACAAGCATGTATCAAGCTAGTCATTACCTAGACGAGGCCGCGCGGCTCCTGGCGGAGTATGAGGCAGCGGCGGCGGCGGGCGGGCTGGCGCAGTCGCAGCGGGAGGCGGCAGCGACTTTCGCCCGCAGCGAGATTGAAGCCTACTGCAGTGGCAAGAAGAGCAAGCTCTTCGCGATTGTGCCTGTGGCGGAGGCCGCCGTCAAGGCCGGCGAGGGGCGTGTGCTCTTCCGGGAGGCGACCCAGACGCGCTACCTCTGCATAGAAGCTGATGGCTCCAAAACAAAGGGCCTGGCCCGCCCAAGCAGCATGGGGGTGAGCACAAGGCAAACTTCTGCAGCAATCGGGCCCGCTCGGCGCGCCCGCGGCCGCCCCGGCGGCCGCCGCCCGTGAGGCGCTGCCGGCCCGCCGCCGCCGGCGACGCGTGCCCCGTCAGCGCCCGGTGGAGCCTGGAAGGGGAGGGGCCGCGCGGGCACGCCGGCCGCCGCCGCGGCACCGCGCGTGACAGACACCGCGGCTAGTCTCAAGCATGCGCAGCCCGCCCCTCTCGCGGCGCCCCCGCTGCCGCCGTCGTCGCCCCGGCACAGCCCGGCGGCGCCTGCAGCCCCTGCGGCGGCGGTTGCGCGCGGACTGCACCGCATGGGCCCCAGATCGCGGCCCCAGTAATCTCGGGGCCCCGGCAACATCTATGCATGTTGCCCGTCCTAGACTCACTCCCTGCCCGCGCCCCGCCGCTTCCCCCCTCCCTGCCCACCAGCGCAACCGGCCGTCGGGCTCTGGCTCCGCCTCTGGTGACACCGTGGCCTGGCCCGGCGCGCGGCGGCCTTCCCTGGGGTCAGAGGACGGCGCTGAGGGCAGCGGCGAGCGCGAGGGTCAGG